GGACGCAAGATGAAGACTTCAAAAAGATTCAGGAACTTTTGTGTTAAAACAACTGATTCAATATTTCTTCTGAAGTAGAAGGGAAAAAAATCCATTCCTAGATTCCACTTGCTTCGCTGTGAATTTTCCTGAATAGTACCTGCTCTTCACATTGACTTGAGGAAAATTTCTTTGGAGGCCGGTGGGAAAACTAACGTATACATTTTAAGTGAAAAATTTGCATGCAGCTCACCCCGGAAAACGTATGTTCTATTTTCAGGAGTTTTGTCGCATGTGTGGAACGGGTCTCTGACTCACAGAAGACATGCTGTGTTTCCTCCTGCCCCTGTTTGCCTCTGGGAATCTGCAAAAAAACAAAAGTGTCAACAGTTTCCTCCTCACTTATTATCCTTGAGTTGGCAGGTCATACCCAAACAAGATGACAGGCCACTGCAGCCATTCCTCTCCTGAGTTTGCCCTCCCACCGTGCTGCCCAGGATGTCCTGTGTGGCGGTCTGTATCTGGCTCTCATCTCCTCTTTGCCCTCTGCCTTCCTGTTGTGCTGCACAGCCATGCAGGTGTCGTAGCAAAAAGCCCCGAGAGGCTAATAATATGTTGCACAATGCAGACGGCCGCGCAAGACTTTTCAATTAGCTCGAGCACTCACTGAAGGTTCTACTTTCATCCCTGTCTTAGCCACGAGGCGGTCCAGTAAAGTGGATTAATGGCACCACCTGTGGGGTTTGAAAAGGTTTCAGTCTATGTGACACTGCTGGGAAAAGCACAGAGACTAAGACTAAGTAAAGGAACATCTATGAGGGTTCACCTTCAGGGTAGCACACGTGGCCGAAGTTTTTGAGCGAAGAAAATAAGGCTTTAACTTCCAGATGTTGCAGGATGAGGCCCATCTGGAGAGAGAGAGCGAGGGAGAGAGACTGAGCTTTTTTCAGGGGGCTATGTGTTGAAAAAAAAAAAAAAAAAGGCTCTAAAATGATCAGTTTAATAAGTTGCAGGTTTCCACTTCGTCCTCCAAAAAGGCAGCACACCATATGCAGTAGGTCGGCCTGTAAACCAGCAGGGTTTAACTTTGAGGAATTTACTGGCCCGGGCTGGACTTCCTGGAAATAGGGATAGAAACGGAGAGCTAATCAAGATAATAACTGATAACTGTTGTGGTGATACCTGTGTTGGTGGTGCTGAGCTGCTGCTGCTGCTGCTGCTTCAAGCCTTTCCTGGTTACAGAGGATGAAGTATATAAGCAGCACCAGTACTTCTTCCAACACCTTCTTGATGTTACCCTCTAATCTAAACACATTTTATCCCAGACATTTAACTCAGAAAATGACTCACTACTTTTTTCTTTGCGTTTTGCACTCAAGGAGAACATTTCTTTTTTTCTTAAGCACTGATAAAAAAGGCTAAAAACTGTCACTGTAGAGTCAGAATGTTGCGTTTTCTGAATTTCTTGGATTTCTGGAGTCCTGTCTTTCCTTCAGAGCACCTCCTTTTCTTCCTCTCCTCCTCCTCCTCCTCCTTCAGTCCTTCAATCTCAGCACAGTGAGGGACATATATGAACAAAGCATCTCAAGAAGATTTCAGGGGCAGTCCTAAACCTTTCTAGAATTGTCCTGGGGTGCAAGTGTGAAAACAGCATGTACTTCTTATTTAAGGTTTTTTTTTTTTTTTTTTTTCCTTTAAAGGTATATATACCTCTGTTACGCTTGACCACATGGCAGTAATTGAAACACACATCTGTCTCGCAGTGTGAAGCTCACACTCTGCAGGCAGCAGCAACACTTGAGTCACTGGTAAATCATCCAAGTGTCACATTGTTTTCCCTTTCGGAGAAGAAATGTTAATATCGGTTATTCCTGGATACAAACAGCAGAAATGTTTTATCAACAGCTACAGAAAAAGATCGCCACTCAAATGCTCAAATGTTTCCGAGCTCTCTGTTTTTGTGGCAGCTGCAAACAGAGAGAGAGAGAGAGAGAAAAAAAACTGCCATCCAGTCACAATCGAAGTGTTGTCTTAACTGAAACCAGATGCAGCGCGGTTTAAGTCTCTTACTGTAAATTGCTTCTCTTTAATACAGCCAGCCCAGGACTTAAAGACTCACATTAAGGCCGTTGCGTGGGAACATAATCCACGCAGAATGATATATGTCGTTCTTAAATCTTGTGTCTCAGTAAAAGATTCTGCTTCCCGTTATGTTCTTTAGTCACCGCAGTCACTCAGAGGGATCAGGACCATCTTGTTTGGCACCAAAGACCCCCCAAGAAGCTCATACCCGACATGCATCAACAAAACATGAATCTGTTTTTACACAGTAGGCATCTGTCAAATTAAAAGAAATTATTTTTAAATGCAGCATGAATTATGTAAAATAATCTTTTGAAATTTGTGGTTTTGCAGACACTGGAGCTCTTTCAGCTTCTGTGTTAGTGGTAGTTTTTGCCAAAGTAGATGGGGTCTGATTTCACACCTCTCCAACAGAGTTTAGACGGCAGCTCCCCTACCACGAGGGTCGAGACCGCAAGAGTAAGCAATCTGCACGCTCCTCGGCCAAAACAAAGGTTGTAATGGAAAGAAAAGAAACCACGGTGCCTCTGTGTGTGTGTGTGTTTTGGTACATGGAACAGGTCGAGTTTTTGTGTGTGCACATCTGTGTTTACGTCCATGTTGGATGCAGAGGTTTGTGATGAGTTGGCACATTTCGGTTGCCTGCAGTGGTTCAGCATTTCCTCCTTTATTTGGCTGCTATGTGATCGCCCGTTTCGCCTCGTAACAAACTACGAGTCCAAGAAGAAGTGCACAACAGTGAGGGACCTCCTGCCTGTGATGGACGGACTGTGACGATGGCCAAAGCTGTGAAATAGATACAGATAGCTTTTGCATATGTTATCACACTTGAAGGACATCCAGATGTGCACAATGCTTTTGTGACACCCTAGAGCCTTTATATCAAAGTTGTTCCACCGACAAGTCAATTATAGTTTGCATTTATGATTGATGATATGTTTGTAGAATATTAGCTTCATTTCACAGCTAAAGATTTAAAGGCTGAGACAGATGTTCTATATTTTACTTATTGTCAACAGACGTGAAAAACAAAACAAACCAAGAGTGTGTAAGTCTGACTCTAAAGTACTCTCCAAGCCCAATTTATCCCACCATTGACTCCTATAAGAAGTAGACCATTACCATCATGACTTCATCCAGTGGATTTTGGACAACCATTTCAAAAGTTGACTGAGTGGGCTTTATTTCATTCATTACATTTTTCAGCCAGAAGTGACAATATATGATTTTTTTATTTTTTTTTTAAATTAAAAGATTTTTATACTTTATTTATCTCTTAGGGAAATAATTGAGAGACATGCTTCTCACACACATAGGCCCAAATCACACACATAAACAAACAGGACCTGTGGACATGCATTATAGTGGAGAGAGTGGGGCTGCTACACACTGCAATGCAGGGAGCGCACCAGAGCAGTTTGGGGTTCGGTGCCTTGCTCAAGGGCACCTAGGCAGTACTCGGGAAGAGCCCTGCAGCCCTGCATCCTCCAGCTACCAGACCAACTTCCAGATTTTGGTCCGCACTGGGACTTGAACCGGCGACCCTCCGGTTCCCATCTCAAGTCCCTAAATGCTGAACTACTGCCGCCCCAAAATACGGTTTCTACTGAAGACATGATTCTTTCAAAACATCTACCTAAGCAAAATCATTACAGGAAAGACAGCTGGTTATTGTAGTTTTTAGAAGAAAAAAATATTGAAAAAGAAGTCAAAAAGTGCATCGGTTGTGGACTTTTAACCGTGGATGAATACGTGTTTGTTGTCTAGTGAGTCAGCAGGATGGTGTATGCTGGACTGACCTGAAATAAACTACAGTCCCCATGTTTATCGTAGTAACGGAACATGCTGGGATTTATTTTCATAGATTATGAACACCAATGGAGGTCTGTCGAACATGGAAATACGATCTAGCAGGCTCTGGCTACAAAGGGAGCAGAGTTATTAGTAGAATGTGTTCATTTCTGGTTTTGGTTTTTTATGGGATTTGTTGACAATAAGAAAAATCAACCATACTGGCCGAGTTATCCTTTAGAAACATGATATGAAACCCTGCAGCCAACTGGAAATAGCTCTCCCTGGCTACAGTACAACCATTAAATGCAAGATGTAGCTGTGTTAACTTGAAAACCACTTACACATACAGTTTTCAGAATCGATTTACGACCAAAACCAGAGCAACTCAATTTGATTTTCACCCATTGTGAGAAGACGGAGAGTGAACCACAGTCACAAAACAAACCGCCTCCATCAGTAAAAAGAAAGGACTTTTAGTTTTCTCGTAGCTGCTTCTCTGCTCTACACAGCCTCATTGCAAACAGAGTCAGCTGGAATTGGGATGAAATATTTAAGCACCAATGTGGAGAGAATCAATGGACTATCGATGCAGAGCTCCTGTGTGATGCTGTTGCACATCTGCAGCAAAGACAGCTTTAACTTCTGTGATCAACGCAGTACTCGTCTTAGACAAAGAAAGGATTAGAGAAAGGATCAAAGACTGAGAAACATGATCCTGCATGCATTGACGCTGTTTGCTTTCATGCATAATAAAGTTACAAAGTTTTTTTCTCTTTGCAAAGATTTACTCTGCTCAGAGAAACACAAACAGCGACAGATTGTGATTGTTGTAAGAGTTCCCCCGAGGCTGTGTCTGTTTTCTTTGCTCCTCTGAAGATTTCAAAGGCTCTTGACCTTGTGTCCTGTTTTGTATATGTTTCAGGAACTGGGCTAATAAATATGGTTGAATTAAGTGTTGTCCTTTGCATAGTTTCATCTTGGGGAGATCAGCTCGGGACACAGTGACTTAAGGTCCTAATGAATCTCGTTTTAATACAACGTTTCCCACAACTTTCTGACCCCGAGAGGAGGACAGGAGTCGTTTGTTTTGGAGGCGATATAAAGCAAAGAGAGCAACGTTATGAAGTTAGCGTGTCATGGTGGAAATGCGAGCATGAGAAAGAGACTCGGATGTGTACAGAGAATTAGGATGAAAACATCACAGGGATCAATGGCAGAATTTAATGTGAGTACCATTTAGGCAGACCAAATACAGGCTCTGAAAAGTTCAAGATATGACATTGAGAAAAATTAGATGCACCCTCACTTCAGCAGAAGTTTGGATTTTTACATGTTTTGAGTTTGCATTGTGAAGGTAGGTTAGTAGACAACAGACAATCACAAAGCCTAAATAGGTAGATCAAGAACATAAAGTAGGAACATACTCAATTTGTAGGTGTTTAAATGTTTGAAACACTGCTGAGTCATCCTCATCATTCAAATAAAAACCTTTTGGACAGAGAAAAATAATTTGGGGGTAATATTGAGATGAGTTCCCAGAACAAATTGTCATACAATCATTCATTCAGCTGTACTTTGTTTTGATAAAGTGTTAAAAATTGTCAAGCAAAAATATTTGACATCTGAAGTTTTCCAGTTCTACTGGATGGAAAAGCCACACATTCTCCCTTTAAATATGGGAATTGACAGCCTTTTCGGAAAAATGGCAGAAGTGAGCGCTGCACTGGGTTAAAAAATAGAGGAATAAGGTTCTCTTCAGGAACAGGGGACAAAGGTTGAATAGCTAATAAAAAAGTTTGACTGCCCTGATGACAAAGAAAGTTTGAAGTGTGGAGAAGCAGTCTTAACTGAAAGTCAAGACTTAATTAAACAGGGATGTGACTCTACTGAGTCTTCATCAGGACAGCCTTTTCAGTTGAATAATAAAAAAAAAAACATATTACAGTTATATGTTTTATCACTTAAAATCATCACCTTTTGTCAATAGGCTCAACAATTGGCTGATTTCTGTTGAGGATATTAGCAAACTAATGGTACAGTAGGAAAAAGAAGTAACTAAATTTGATTAATTAATTGAAATATAAGAACACAGCACAGAAGATATTTTAATATTCTGACTATACAATTAGTTTGACCTAATTTGAGATTTGGAAGAAATTAAACATCCCCATAACGCTACCGTATGAGTTTTGAGTCATAGTCCAGTGTTCAGTGTTTCCCCTACCATTATATTAGGGGGGCGGTCCCCCTAAACAAAGTTCAAGTAAAAAAAAAAAAGTTTTAGTTTTTTAGTTTTTTAAGATTTATTTTTGTGCTTTTTGTGCCTTTATTGTAGGGATCGGATAGTGGATAGAGTCAGAAATCAGGGAAAGAAGTCATTTAAGGATACCTTCCTGATAGAAAAGGACATCTGTCATTAAAAGTACACATGAACACCAAGATTCCTTCAAGTGTTTGTGTCATCGTGTCGGCATGTCAGCTTGTCCCCACCCTCCCCCCAACGCTGTAAACCTAGGGGAAACACTGTAGTCTTATCATGAAGAAAATAAATCATTCAAATAACCAAAAGAGTTACTGACTCACTGATACAATCATGGACGGAGTGAAGAGAGAGTTTCCTGACTGGATGTAGAGCAGCAGTCTGATAGTAAAGCTCAGGAAGAGATGAGGATGAAGTGTGCGTCTGAATCAACAACGCGTTCTGTGATTCAGGCTGAAACGACGACACATTCCAACGGATCAATCAAAGGCTTCAGCCGTTACACATTTCCTCGTTATTGACTCGTCACGGCAGAGGACTTTTCAAATAGTTACAGCATGATTCAGCAAAGTTCGAAATTCCTCACGCTATTGTGTTGTGGTTTGTGTTAAAGGATGCATGCAGTTTGTGTTAAAACTTGGCTTTTCCTTTTGTCATGTTTGAAGTGGAGCTCTGAGGCAGCGTCGATCGGTCAGTCCAGATCTTTGAAGCCGTACTGCGTGGGTCAGGGTAAAACTGGAACAGGCATTGATGGTGCGCAGATGATTCTAATGATCCTATGGCTTTCACTTAGCACCACCAATAGGAAACTGTTTTTCATTTAAGCAGTGTGTTCACAAGCCTGGTTTATGCATCTCAAGAGATTCTGTTGTTAGCACCTCGTGTGTTAGTACGTCTGCGTAGCTCTGCAATACTCCGCCCAAAAACTCGAGCTGGCAGAGTGATTTTTATGCTAGTTATATCGCCAGTCACCGGTTACACCACATTCTCTGCTTGTCTGTGAATAGGAAACCATGGCAACTGAAAGCCAGTGTACAATGTTGGATTTGTTTGTCCTTCTGAAGATTTTTGAATGTGGGGGAAATGATGTAAATACCCTGCGGACCAATTGCAGGTCTTGCTGTCTGCATCGTTTTGAAACCCAAGGTTATTAAGGTAAAATATGTTATATGTAGTTTGGTACAACAGTTAATTACACTGGAATAACACAATTGGCTTTTGGGGTTCATCTACAAAATGTGGAGTTAAAGTCATTCATGATGTCAGAGCCACACTGTGGAATCAGATGGTTCATGTTATAATGAACTGTGACAATATGGTTGTCTGCATTAAACAGAACTACATTATGGCGGTTCTATAGGCTGTGAATTTTGTTCTCTTACAAGCTGCGGCCGTCTTGTGTTGTGGACGGAGAGGTTTTTCGCCCGTGCTCTTACTGTGAACGTTTACAATGCAAAGCTGTGTTTTCTGGTCACGGTTTGTGGAAGGAGCTGCGAGTTTTATAAGAGCTCTATGTGTCTCTGCAACCAGTATGATCAACAGAGCATTACGGCACATATAATTACAGCGCTGTATGGTCATGTCGCTCTGAAACCTCAGCCAGAGCCTCCATTTTGGGTTTTTCCACCATTTCAGTCCCAGAACTTTGCATAAAACTTTACTTTTCAAAGACCAGACATGATTTCAATCCAAGGTGTTTGAGTCTGTGTTTTTGTTTGTTCTGCTCCGTAAAGTTCTGACGGTGTATTTGTCACACTGTCTTAGTGGTTAAAGTTGTTTTTCTGGACCCCTCTGCTCTCTCTGACCATTGAAGCCACAGCCATCCTCCCTGTGGTTTCAGTCTGCAGTGTGGAGGGCCGGGCAGCAGTTTGCACTGTGGGCCTGTGTGCAGAGCGCACGAGCCTCAAACGTGTCAAGCAACAGGGGAGCAAAGAGGCCTCCTGGCAGAAAGCCCTAAGCTGACAACACAAAAGAGAATTTGAGTGTAAACCACATCAGAACACACACATCTGCACTAAGCAAACATTTCATGAATGAAGAAAACATGGATTATTTATTCCTTTTCTCATCAGCGTCCCCGAAGATTTCAGATGAAGCATTTGTTTGAATTTACTCCGTGTTCAGTTGTGCTCTTGTAAAAGGAGCGATGCATGTGTTCAAAGCATGCAAAATGTAAATGTTAATTCAGAATGGCACAAAACAGCTGTGCATGTGCTGTGCGGAGGTTATAAAGTGGGCTAAATGAAAACCTAACGCAACTGTTTTGTGTGTTTGTGTAATCTTCTGAATGTCTAATCTTCTCGCAGATTGTCGAACACTTTCGCTTAATCAAAGTCGTCTTTGACATCAAAGCAGCGTCTGATTTGAGTCTGTTTACTCTGATGCATCGCCGTGTCCTCTGTCTGTGTGTCCAGGTCTGTTTTATGGTACCCTTAAGCGTCCTTTTTCTGCCTTTGGTTAAGCTAAAGAAACGCATCATGGTCTGGACTAACACCCTGGGCTCCTTGGTTTAACTCCTGTGTTGTTGCACTATCGATCTTCTCCTGACTGCCGCTCTAAAGTCGACGACATCAGTCCTTGAACCATGTCAGCTCAAACATGGAGGGCTTTTTTCTCTCACTGCCCAATCAAACTCAAGACGGGTTGGACTTACAACATTAGCTTTGTCAACAACTTTTCCGACAGATTTGGACCATTTTTTTCCCCCAGTTTTCCAGGTTTAACGTCTCTCTTTAAAAATCTCGAGCTGCGTGTTTTATAACGGATCTGTTAACCTTAAAACTGCTCGTTATTAAGCCTCAGCTAGGACTGGCAGCAGGCTGAAGTCTGTACAGATTCAGTCTGGCACTCTGCTCAGTGTTGAACTCATGTTTATGTCCATGTTGTTCAAAACAACAGTGTTACCATGGTGACCATATCACTCCTACCACTGTTATCCACAGACTCTGCTCTCCGTCACCGCGGGGACAGAGTCTGTCACACTACCGTACATGCACCACCTTCTGACTGCACTAGAAAAGTCTGTTTCCAACATAAACACACACGCACGCACACACGCACACACACACGCACACACACACGCACACACACACACACGCACACACACATTAGTCTATCTAATTCACGTTTAACCGCTCCAGGAAAAGGTGTGGTCATCACACTCTGCATCCTCCTGGATTTAACTTTCATGTTAACACTTTAAAGTAACTCAGTGGAGTTTTTGTCTCCTGCCTCAGGATCTCTGCTCTGTTGTTTTTGGATGGACCACAGCAAAGTTTGGGTCGGACCTGTAATCGTGAAAGTCTGTCATTGGCTGAATGACAAATGTTCTTGTACGATTGGTTGGTCGATTCGGTGAAGTGTCCATATTTGCCATTGAGCTTTTAAAGTTAATAGGCTCAACCAACTGTAACGTCGCTGGTCTGAGTGCTGAGGCACTTTAAGGTTTTCATTCGTAGGTTCATGCCTCACCCAAGCAGACCTTAAGATTATAAATCTACTCCCACTTACCATGCTGGTAACTCATCTCACTTGTGTAAAAGTGAAGGGATTATTTATGAAGCACATCTTAAGGGTTACGGAAAGACTTCACAAAAATACAGAAAGATAACGGCATATGAAAAACCCACAGATGTTAAGAGCCAGAGAGAAATGTCAGAATTCATTTCTTTAAAAGGAGGTTTTAAGAGATGATTTTAAGGCTTACTTTGCAACTTTAAGGGCCGATTTTGTTTTTAAAACAGCCTCTTCAGATACACCTCCTCCATCCCTCAGCTCCCCCTCTCCACTCCTGTCTCTACACTTCCCCCGTCCTGTTTCACATGCAGGGTTATTTGACGCAGAGAGTGATGATAAATATCGGAGAGAAAGATTCTGAGATAAATTCTAAGTAATGATATGCATCTAAAACTTGATTCAGTTGTTCTATGTTTGTATTTGGAGGCCATATTTAGAAACAGCTTCCC